CATTTGCTCTCTGTCAGTCATGCTCAAAGATGGCAAGGTGTTGACGCTGGTTTAAGGGCTGCTCGCGTCTGAGGTGCTTTGCGCAAGCGACTTTGGCAAGAGGGTTGGTTCAAGCCAAACTCCTCTTATTATGCAGCTTGCCTTGATGGGAGTGCAACACAGAGCGCAGAAGTGCTGCTTTGCCGAGGCTTGGAAAGCGCTCGTGAGTATGCTTCTTTTCGCATTTTCCGTTGGCGCCGTGGTCATGCTGTCCCCAATGCACGCAAGCCTGCGCACATTGGTCGCTGGTGTCGTGCCCTCCTGAGACCTTGATCTTGTGTGGCATGGGTAATAGATTGTCCATTTCCGAATGAGCCCCTCAGGAATATTTGAGGGCCTGACTTCAGCAGAGTCTTACGTTTGAGAGGGCTCCCTCTGATAAAAATCCGGCATCCGGACGTCGAAGTTGGCTTGGACACTTGTGCTGGGTGGCTTGTCTTGTTTGGGTCTTCCTCTTTTGGTGGCTTTAAAGGGACGCCAAAAGCAAAACAGTTGCGCCATGTTGGGGCGTTTTCGGTCCGATGCCGAAATCACGACGAGCAACCCACTCGTGCCATGCAAAACGGAACCGCGAAGAAACATGGCTGTGGGTCAAACCAATGGGATCCCAGTTTGGGGTAGGTGAATTCACCACCCAAATCTTAGCACCTATTTTAGTGGTTGGATTGAATCGGATGTTCACTGGGGGCTAACCGGGCTTTGGATTTTGACCCATGGACACTTTACCATCCCTTTGCAAAGCAGTAGTCAGTAGTCCTTAAAAAAACGCCTTCTTCCACAAATCCACCAAATGGTTATTGTTTAGACAACCTCCCCATGCAAAACGCCAGCGAAGAAAAAAAATGAAAACAAAACTCCGAGGTCTTGGGTATCGCATGGCAGCAGGCAGCTTTTCTGGCACATGATGCTGACCACAACGGCGCCTGGGTCGCAAAACGGGTCCCTGGCCAGGCGGAGTCGGACTCCAGGTGTCCCCAGAACGGCGCGAGCGAGCCGGTGTTCAACGGACGTGTCCGGTTAAAACCAAATGGCAGTGGCTCAAAAAACGGTACCAAAATGGGTTGCCCTGGTAAGTGGAAACATGCGTAACCCCTCCTGGTTAATTTTGAGCCCACCCAAATTGGGTACCCTCAAAAAAAGGACTCATTTCGTGTTGGCGTTTTTTTTGCGGCTCTGAAAAGTGATCCAACAAGAAAAAGGATGCAGGGCTTACAGATGGGGCTTCCAAGCATCCCAGCGTTCTCCTTCCTGTGAGAATCCAACCATGAACGCGGTCGCTTCCGCATCACATCATGCGTGGATACCTCGATTCTTTCCCAGGCATTTTAACTCCACAAAGTGGAAGCTCATTCAATGCCTTAGCGTCGCTGGGCAGCACGTGGGAATGGTCCATTGGTTGTCGGTTGGCAAAACTGGCACCTGCACAGAGTTTGGCTACAACCAAGGTGGTTTCTCGCTAGTGTCGTGTTTGGCATCTCCAGAGGTATGTGGAATGAGGCTCCATGGTGAGTGACACCATGCTTGCATGCCCCAGATGGCCAGGAGCATTCTTTGCACCACGCAATAACATTGCGACCGCAGGACACTGCAAGAGATTGCTAGGCACTAAAGGTAGATCAGAACACAGCGGAGTCAGAAGGAGCCCGTTGGCCCGGCTTTTTTCTTTTTTTTCTTCTGTGCACGGGCTGGCATTGGCTCAGGAGGATCCACAGTTCAACTACTTGCCGCTTTGGCTAATCTCCAAGAAGGTGCGGACAGAGAGTTCTAGGTGGTTGCATCAAAGTTGGTTCAAGCGAAGGAGCTGGATGTACCGGGCACACGAGTGACTTTCCTTACTCGAGCATTGGTTTCAGCCACTTGGTGATGATTTCACAGCGGTGCATACGCAGTGTCATTGGCTCTGTCAGGTTCAACATTGGACATTTCTTCCAGTTTCAGTGGAAGATGCCTCAGTTGGCGGACTCAACAGCCAGCATCCCCAACACGCAATACAATTCCGAGCACCCAGGTCATTGGAAGATTCAACTTCTATCTCATCTCCATGTTGACAGCTTTGAAGCGATTTCTGACTGCAAAGCGGCGCAGAGATGCGATCGGTGGCTGTTTGGACGTCCTTGGAATGCTGATGTAGCTCGGACGCATCATTCTGAAGGCAGGTCGGATGCATTCATGGTGATGAGGGAGCATCCACTTTGCACACCTTGCAAGCCAGAGTGACCTCAGGTTTTGGACTTGGTACGTGGCTTGGCAAGCTTTTGTAGGCAACTGTCAAAGTTACTATGTAGCATTGCGTTCGCCAGGGTGCAGAAAGGACAGTGAGCAGGCGATATGTTTGAGCGCGTCGCCATGGCGAGTTGCGGAGATCTGGTTCTGTTTTCTGGTGTGATAGGTAGGGAATGCGAAATGGAATGAACCCAGTTGCTTTGGTCCCCTTCAAAACCACCAGCAAGGGATGGTTTTT